ATTATTTTGGTGCAAAAGCATTTGAAATCCACATATTTTTTTCATAATGTTCATTTTTTATGCTTTATATTCATGACCACAGAGAAAAATGAGTACACAAGTACAGAGACGGCCTTAAGTGTTGAATCCTGCTGCTCTATTAACCACCAGCTAAATACATCTTACCTGGTCCAACCTCAGCAGAAATGTTAGATCTCCATTATTATAAAGATCACCTCATTAACTAAGAAAATGTTTGTACTGGATGTTTAGGAAAATAGCCCAGTCCTTTTTTTTTTTTTTAAGACTTATTTATTTATTTATTTAAAAGGCAGAGTTACAGACTGTCAGAGGCAGAGGCAGAGAGAAAGAGGTCTTCCGTCTGCTGGTTCACTCCCCAATTTGCTACAAAGGCCGGAGCTGTGCCGATCCAAAGCCAGGAGCCAGGAGCTTTCTCCGGGTCTCCCAAGTGAATGCAGAAGCCCAAGGACTTGGGCCATCTTCTACTACTTTCCCAGGCCATAGCAGAGAGCTGGATCGGAAGTGGAGCAGCTGGGACTTGAACTGGCGCCCATATGGGATGCCAGCACTGCAGACAGTGGCTTTACCTGCTACACCACAGTACTGGCCTCATATTTGCAAATTTTAAGAAGGACTGGGGAGGCCGGTGCTGTGACGTAGCAGGTAAAGCTGCTGCTTGCAGTGCTGGCATCCCATATGAGCACCAGTTGGAGTCCCGACTGCTCCACTTCTGATCTAGCTCTCTGCTGTGGCCTGGGAAAGCAGTAGAAGATGGCCCAAGTTCCTGGGCCCCTGAACCCACTTGGGAAACCAAGAGAAAGCTCCTGGCTCCTGGCTTTGGATCAGCGCAGCTCCGGCCATTGCAGCCACCTTGGGAGTAAAGTAGAGGAAGGAAGACCTCTGCCTCTGCCTCTGCTTCTCTGTAACTCTTTCAGATAAATAACTCTTTTTTAAAAATCTGCAGCTACAAAGAATAGGAAGTCAATATAAGCACTTTTTTGCTAGTGACTTGATGGTGCCCTGGTAGGCATTGTTTTTAATTGGGTCTTAACCATGGCAATCCATTGGAATGACCTGGGAGGCATTTTTAAAATATCTGTGCTCAGGTCCTACCCCAGAGCAGTTGAATCAATTCTTCAAATTGGGAGCACCAAGCTTGGGTATGTTTTGAAGACTCCTTAATGTGATTCTAACAAGCAGTCAAGGTTGAGAACCGCTTGATATCGGAAATGACCCTCTAAAATATATATGAAAATGTGGCACCTCGGTGTTCCCCAGAAGTGCCATCTGGGGTGCCACATATGTTACCAGAATTTGGGGTGCCCTATGATATCACCATATGCTTATTCATAAATCCCCAATATTAATAAGCCCAAGAGGGTTCTTGCCTAATATTTAGAGAAGAATTCTAAATACCAGCATAAATAAACAAGGCAGCATGGTACATTTTAAGCTTTTATTTAGCAAGAAAGATGCATAGGAGAGTGAGAGCTTTATTTGAGAGAGGTAAACCTGGGTTCATACCGAGCACCAGGAACCAGCCATGTGGAGGAGCATCTAGGCCAGGAAGCCTAGGGTGGGTGGCCTGAAGGTCACATGCCCTGGAGGCGCAGAGCTACAGCAAGCCCTCTCCTGGCTAGAGGCCAGGGCAAAGAAGAGGAGGGTGGACACACTGTGTCCCAGGCTTTTAACCCATTTCCAATGGGGAGTGGTTAATTAACCTGATTGGCTGGTGGGCACCCAGGTGTAACCAGGTAGGGGCATGAGGTCACACAGGGGCATGGCAAAGGCGTGGTCTTCCAGCTCACAAACCTAATTGATTTTAACCTGTATGCCTGCCTACTTCACACTCAGTGGCCTTTCCCATCTTGGTAGCCCTGTTAGCTTGTACCATTTTGGTATCTGTGAGGAATTGGTTCCAGGTCTCCTTGTAGATACCAAAATCCGTAGATGCTCAAGTCTCATGAAAAATCACATAGTATTTGCTTATAACTTACATATATTGTAACCTATATTTTAAACTGTATGTTTTTAAACTATCTAGATTACTTAGAACACAGAGTACAATGTAAATGTTATGTAGTTGTTATACTACAGAGAGTAATGACAAATAAAAACACGGAATATGTATATTCCGTTCCAAAACTAGTTGAATCCTTGGATGCAGAACCTATGGATACTGAGAGCCAATTGTATGCAGATCTTGAAGACTTCTGACCTCGGGGTTTGGAAACTCAATTCCTGCTGGCACCTAGGGAAAACCCACATATACTTGCCAATCAAACTGAAACCCTGCCCTAAGGGAGGTCCTCCTCTGTGATTTAATGCCTCTCTTAGGGGCTCTCAGGGCACTTTGCTGCATCACAGATACTAAACTATCAAACCAAAGGCATGAGCTACTCTGCTCAGGATGGATTATTGATTAGTATAGATGTATTCTTTTTGGCTACCTAGCCAATAGCAAGGATGGTTTTGTGTAAACTTGGCTGTGAGTATAGGTTCTTGAAAGTATTTGTTGATTTGTTCAGAACAAGAAGCCCAGGTATAAGAATATTTCTGAATTTCAATATTTCTGTTGTTGAACTAAAAAGAAAATGGATTTTCAAAGATGAAGAGCAAGAAATATTGTAGCAACTTTTAGATTACTTGCTAATCTAAACTCAAGGATTTCAAAAAGTTCATGGGAAATGTGTACTATGAAAAACTATGCATGGATTTCAAACTCTGGGGGACAAAAATAAACTTATTTGTTAATCTAATTTTCCCATGAACTTCCTGAAGTACGCTCATACGAGGTACAGTAATATACAAATCTTGACTTCATAAAGATTTTACACTTGCTTTACCTCAGTTCCTAATTCATGATGGACTTCCCAACATGCTGGCTAAGGAGTTTTATAAAAGTAGATTTACATCCCACTTCCTCCACAAAGGCCCCCAGCCTGCCCCCGCCTCCCCTACGGATACTTCCAGGAGTTCAGGAGTGGGGCTTGGAAGCAGCCAGCACCCTCTAGAAGCCAGCCCTTAATCTACCTCTCCCTGCCACCGCCCTCCACACTGAGTAAAGTTGTCTAAGAATAAAAAAAAAAAAATTAGATTTGATCATTTACTTTTCCCCCAGTCTCTTCCAGGGAAATAAAATAGCACACCAAGTAGGATAGAAAGCTTAGGAATTTGTAAGAGTTTAAGTAGCTTCTATAAATTCCCTAAACACAGACGCAGACAGCTAGAGGCATAATATTCAACAGACATATTCCCATTCTTTCTGGAGAGTGACGCTAGGGAAGAAGAGATACTAGAGCCTGATCATTTTAATTATTTGATTTTATCCCATGTTGACCTTCACTACATACTGACCATCCACAGGGGGGATGTGACATAACTACCTGGAAAATAAGTAATGGTCCTAATTTGTTTTTGAGACCTTCTCTGATGAACACACCATTTTTTTAGTGGACTGACTTTACTCATCTCAAACTCTACAAATTTTCTGGTGTTACTAATGCGGATTTTTAGGTCTAACTATGTAGACTATTGTACCCAGCGGTAAGTAGAGCAAACGCCTTGAATGTGGCCTTGTAGCTCAAGCGCACACTGCAGAGTGGAGTGTGGCCAGAGGGGGTCCAGCTAGAGCTATGCTGTCTCTCTGCTGGACCATATAGGACTCCATGGGAGTCATCGGAATCAAGAGATGAAGCATTTTACCCTCTGCTTGGCAGTGAGGAAGCAAAATCCTGAGCCATCTTCTGCTTCTTTTAAGATATGAGATGAGGGCCAGTGCTGCTGCTCACTAGGCTAATCCTCCGCCTGCGGCGCCAGCACACCAGGTTCTAGTCCCGGTCGGGGCGCCGGATTCTGTCCCGGTTGCTCCTCTTCCAGTCCAGCTTTCTGCTGTGGCCAGGGAGTACAGTGGAGGATGGCCCAAGTGCTTGGGCCCTGCACCCCATGGGAGAGCAGGAGAAGCACCTGGCTCCTGCCTCCGGATTAGCGCGGTGCACCGGCTGCGGCAGCAATTGGAGGGTGAACCAACGGAAAAGGAAGACCTTTCTCTCTGTCTCTCTCTCTCTGTCCACTCTGCCTGTCAAAAAAATTAAAAAAAAAAAAAATATGAGATGAAAATGGGAATTCCTGCATCTGTCTCCCAGTGGGTTTCTGGAGATACGTGTGCAAATTTGTAAGTGTTACTGGGTGACAAATTCCAAAGACATGGATATCTTAGAGTGCTTCTTTTCCTAATTATGAGCAAGGCATTCCCCCCAAATGCCTATCAAGCTGCATACACTTTACATTAGTGGTACGGTATAGTCATATATGGCTAAACAAATTTACAAACGTTATTCAAACCAACACCAAGTGGATTACTTTGCTCCGTTTTGATTAGCCTTGAAGGTAGTGAAGCCCTTATTGTCCAATAGGAAAACCTTATTTCTGTTAGTTTTAGATATATTCCTAAAAATGTGTGTCTATACATACGAATGTGTGTATGTGTATACAGAAGTGCATTATATATCTATTCCTATATATACAGGTATTTCAAAAGGTTCATGGAAAATGGAATTTAAGTTATTTTGGTGGCAATTTTTTGCCTGGTTTTTCATAACATGCATTTCCATGAACTTTTTGAAGACCTGTGATGTGCAAGGATTTCAAAAATTTTTGCACCAACATGACCATACCTTTTAATTTCATTTCCTGAACTTTTTGAAGTACTACCATGTACCTCATTTAAAAGCTAATTATTATTTCAATTTAATCTTTTAAAAATAACCATAAAAAAAACCTATCTTCCAAATTGACACAGAAAATATCCAAATTACTTGTACTTCCATCAGCTTGTCTATTCTATCAAAGTTACTACAACACAGCACGTTTGCCAACTGTGGCATGAGATGTCAGCATTCTGCAACCTTACTCAGAAAAGCACTCACCTAAACTGGGCTTCACCGACATCAGAAAACCTGCAGGGTACTTGTCAGGAAAAAGAAAGCCACGTTTTTGGTTTCTATTTTATAAAATCTATAGTTTAATGTGTACATAGCTTTTAAAAATACAGGGCACTCACGCCCGTGTATTCTACAAGCAACAGAAAGTCTGAGTCTACTGCATGCATGCACACACAACGCACCTAGCACAAACGCGTTTGCACGGCTGGAGGGCAGCTCTGCTTTGAGCCCACGCGAGCAGCGGACAACTGTGGCCGCCCCAGGACTGGGACGCACTCTCAAAGTTTACGTATTTCTGAGGACTGAAACTGCAGTTTAGTCCTGGTTTTTCCTTATGTTTGTGTTCCCTCAAAGTAGTCCAGGAAAGGGGGCTGGGCGGGGGCGTTATTTCCACAAACAATAACGTCCACAGCTGCGTTAATGAAATCTACCCGACACAGAGAAGCAGGGGGAAGCAACCACACGACGATCGTGTCCGTAGGTCTGAGGGTGCGAACCGAGGTCTCCTGCAAGTTCACGAAGCCACCTAAGGCGCCTAACTGGGCATCCGGAAGGGCTCGGGCTGGAAACCGAAGAGCCTCTGGCCGAAGGGCTCGCCCTCGCCCGGCAGCTTCGCGCCCGCCAACGGCAGGTAATGGTCGCGGCCCAAGTGCTCACAGTGGAGACTGACCCAGTCCCGCTCCGAGCCGAATCGCTCGGCCTCGGCCAGGATGCGGGTCAGCGCCATGATATAGCTCAGCGCCATCTGCAGGGTCTCGTACTTGGACAGCTTCTTATCCTGGCCCCACTGCGGCACCACCCTGCGCAGCCGGTCGAAGGCCGTGTTGAGCCCCTGCATGCGCCGCCGCTCGCGCGCGTTGGCCGCCAGGCGCCTGCGCGCCGCGCTCTCCAGCCGCCCGGCGCCGGCGCACGTGCTCGCGCACTCCGCGCCGCCCGCGCACGGGGGCGCGGCGCGCGCTCCCGCCGGCGGGCCGCTGGGCTTGCAGGACTTCATTCCCGGCGCCGAGAGCGACAGGCGCCGGCTCGGACTCGGCACCTGCGCGAGGGCCACTCGGAGGAGCCGCTCCCCCGCGGGACTCTTCTTAACGAACTGAGTCCTGAAAACAAACAACTCCCAGGCGCTCAGTCCTAGAGGATGGCCGGTGGACGCCTCTTCCCTGGCCCGAATGTGGGGCAGATGGAGATGCTCAGGAGAAAGTCATTTTCCTCCCCAGCGGGAAGCTGGACAGCGGCCTTCCCGCGGCAGCAGTTTGGTGTGGCTGGTTCGGGCCAGGCTCCGGCCTCCTCTTCGGGAAGGGGCAGTCTTCCCCGAAGCTCGGAGAGGGAACGGGCGCTTTTACCGCGGTAGCCGTCGGAGAGTGCCGGGTGGCTCTTGGAGGGAGGAGAATTTATAGCGGAGGCCAAAGGAGCGAACAGGTGGTGGCAGGTGGGCGGGCGTCCCTCGGCTTCCAACTCAGCACCTTCCTGCCCTGGGAACGGCGGGGGGCGGGGGCGAAGCACAGCCGCATCCTGACGGTACAGCCTTCGTCTGTTGAAGTTTCTCCAGAGCCAAGGCCAGCACTAACTAACGCACCATCTGGAGTGGCCTGGCTGTCCCCAGAAGAATAACGGAGTGGGCGGGGGGGTGGGCTTGGTGCACCTTTTCCCGTACCAGCGGGAAGCTTACGTATCAAAAAACTCAGCTTCAGATGGTTAGAAATCCTGTGTGAGATGGAGTGGTTTGGGCATTAGGCGGTATACCAGAGGTTTATGAAGATTTAGTGTATGAAGAGGCAGCTTTGTGGAGAAGTGCGTCAATTTTGCATAATGCTGATCTAATATGTTGACGTTTTGATGTTGGCTGTTCAGTAAATTGGGACAAATTAGCCAGTCCTACTACTGTTGCAGACCTAGAATTTTATTATGCAAATAGTTTAGCGGTTCTTTTGTGAAATAATTTGTTCTAACATATCAAAAGATATTACTGGATAGATGGAAAACTTTTAATTATTCTAACCATATAATTGGATTGCATGATCTTGAATAGTTAGGCAATATTTATAGTTCATTTCTCCTGACATAGTTTCATAAATGTTTGTGGGATTGAGATGATAGCCAATTATTCAACATTGAAAAAGAAAACTAATCACACATATATGTGCAAACATGTAAGTACTGTGCAAGACTTTAAAAAATCATTCCTAATGGAAGACATTGGTCCACCTTGTGAAGCTGAAGTATTTCATACAACTTGGTTGCTGTGGCAGCGTCCTCGGGAGTAATAATGAGACATGATTTCCACTGTTGATAATGAGGATCTGATTTATAAAGAAAAACCATTCATTTGATTTTCTCATCTCAGCTTAGTTCTTGCTCATAAGAGGAACCCAGGGCTAAAGAAACCAGCTCCAAGCAAGTGCAATCCAGAATCATTTCTGGATTCTTCAGGAAGATGAAGCAAGTTCTTGTCCCTTTTGGTATGTGGACATGTGCACATTATTCTCAGATATGTTTATTTCATTAAACTGTCAACAAGCTCTCAGCAATCAGGAGTCTTCTCGCTGTGACTGGCTTCCCCCACACTGCCTCTGACTGTTGCCCCATTGTGACTGCCCTGACTCCAAGTCCTGTCTTCCCATAAATAGTTGATTAATCCCCAGCTGAAGCAGTGACAATGAAATGAAGTTGAATAACATGAAGACAATGGGATGCAATTGAACATTAATGATCTTCAGCATGACAGATGTTGAACACAGACTTTTGCCTGGAGCCACTCAGCTCCGTTACTCTGAGTCCTAACAGTCTTGCTCAGTCCTGTGACAGGAAAGACTGTTATGTAGCCATCAAAACATCATATATTTTTTTAAAATTTTCATGGAAAACTGCCCCATTCATGCAGTTGTTTCTCATGTTCATTTAGCTCATCCCTCTCCCACAGAGCTCCCTCTGTGCTACTCTGTGGAGTGTTTTTTGCAAAATAGACTGTGGATTCTTTCTAGAAACTGTTGTCCAAAGTGCTAATGAGATGTGTGCTTTTGCAAGCCATGTACCCAGAGTTGGAGAGATTTTAGCCTGTGGACCAAGGGCATCGAAAGCATAACCTGAAGACAAAAAGGGAAACAGCACTGGGCACACAACACAGCTATTTTAGAACATACACTAGCAGATATCTAAAATGTAAAATTGATCCAAGAACAGAGAACATTGCAACAATAAAGGGGGCCCTTGAGGGCCTATAGTAAGCTGTTTCCTCAGTATATTCTAAAAGTCAGTGTTAATACTACAAAGATGCTTCTGGGGAATACCTGCTATCTTCTTGGAAACTCATGAAGCAAAATGGATGTCTAAAGTTTCAGAGCGTCCCGTAATAAAGAAACCTACTGACGTCTGCATGTCCTAGACCTTGAATACAGAACCCTCTTGCCCCTAGAGAGATTAACAAAGTTTCTTGGACACTTTCTCACACCTGCTGTAGTACCTTCCATTTACTTTACGGAGAAGGAAGCTGCGCCAGAGACTCAACACCATGCTCAAAGGCACACTCAGCAATTTGATGACAAATGAAGACAAGATGTGGAGTCTCTATGTCCATTGATTTTGAAAGTTTTGAAATTATGTGATCGGTCAACACAAACCCCTCATTTGCCAGTGGGGTAACAGAGATTCCCCACTGACTTCCCAGAGTCAGATATATCATTAATAAAATTATAGGACTAGAAGTAGAAACACAGAAGGCTGTGTTGTTTATTTTATAACCCTAGTGTCTAGCACAGTGCCTAAAAGATACCAGGTACTCAGTAACCCAGATGGAATGAATGGAACAGTAAGATAAATGACAAGGATGAGAATGAGCACATCAAAAGATGTGCATCCCCTCATATGCAGAGGACATGGCTAGCTGCATATTTTGAATGTAGGATGGGTTCCTTCTTAGCAAAAAAAAAAAAAAAAAAAAAAAAAATCCGTAGCCATTTGGGCTCACAGAACATGCATAGCAGAGTAATTTCCACAATATTTCTATATTGAGAGTGTGATACTTCCAGGTAAACTGGCAGTTACTGTTCTTAAATAAAATTTGTAAGGGGAGGAATGGTGCTATGGTGTAGTGGGTAAAGCCACTGCCTGCAGTGCTGGCCTCCCATATGGATGCCAGTTTGGGTCCTGGCTGCTCCAGTTCCAATCCAGCTCTCTGCTATAGTCTGGGAAAGCAGAAGAAGAAGACCCTGCACCTGTGGCAGACCCAGAGGAAGCTCTGGCTGCTGTGGCCATTTGGGGAATGAATCAGTGCATGGAAATTCTCTCTCTCTCTCTGCCTCAGTCTCTCTGTAACTCTGCCTTTCAAATAATAAATCTCTTTAAAAAATTTTGTAAGGGGAGATTGCTTTGGACCAGGATTCTTTCTAGGCCCAATAGAACAAAGTAAATATGGAGTCAATCATACTAAATGAAACTAACTAGCCCAGGCATATGTGCGTGTTAACAAATGGCTGCGTTTCAGTTTAGTTGTAGCAGCTGAGTGTTAGTCACTTGTAGGTGGCCAACTGATTCAAGCAAGGCAAATGCTGTTACCAGTGAGCTGCATCCCTCCCTCCATTCTCCACTCCTGACTATTGCATGGCCACATTACTAGCCAGGGTTCTTTGAGCCTTTTCTGGTTCAGAGCGCTGCCTGATTTTGGAATTGTGAGTAAATGCCAATTAAGATCTTACATTAAATTTGTTGTCACTTCTGTCTTTTGTGACTATATGGCCAGAAATCAAAACTGGGATGTGGAGACAGGGAGTTGGGAGTAAGGGTGAGAGAGAAGAAACTTGCACCTGTAGAAGCCATAGAAAAATCAGAGAAGTTTAGTGTTAGACATTAAAGACCGATGGCTGGAATTTATTACATAAGAGCTGTAGAATAGGTTTAGTAAACAGTCTTTTACTATCCAAAATCATATTTAATTTTTAAATAGGAGGGTCTCCAAAAAGCCACACAATTAAAGAGCAAAGCACTTGGTGGAAAATGTCCACTCTGAGATTTGCAGAGAAAATCTGGAAAAAGAAAAAGAAAACTGGAGCTTTTTTTTTTGGGACAGGCAGAGTGGATAGTGAGAGAGAAAGAGGTCTTCCTTTTTGGTTCACCCTCCAATAGCCGCTGCTGCGGCCAGCGCATCACGCTGATCCAAATAGCCACCACTGCGGCCAGCACATTGCACTGATCCAAAGTCAGGAGCCAGGTGCTTCTCCTGGTCTCCCATGGGGTGCAGGGCCCAGGCACTTGGGCCATCCTCCACTGCCCTCCCGGGCCTTAGCAGAGAGCTGGCCTGGAAGAGGGGCAACCAGGACAACAGAATCCGGCGCTCCGACCAGGACTAGAACCCGGTGTGCCGGCGCCGCAGGAGGAGGATTAGCCTAGAGAGCCGTGGCGCCGCGGCGCCGGCTGAAAACGGGAGCTTTCTAACATAGCAGGGAGCAGTTAGGGACCCTGGGTCCCAGAAAGCTGGAGACGCAAGCCCGCAAAAGACAAAGGAATCCCAGTGAGTGTCATGCTGATAAAGACCAGAGATGGAAGGAGTTAGAAGAGTTCCCATATTTTATAATATGCTTTCTGGCTATTAGAGGGGAAATAACCCTAAAAGAATTTACAAGTAAGCATTTACAAAGAGAAAGAAAGAGGCCAAGAATGTTCCTTTGCTCCCTGCCTCCCAAAGGTGCAGAAACTAAGGGACAGAGACTAATAATGGCATCTGCAGAAAAGTGACAATAGTGAGCCCCAGGAGGTCTGGTCCCAGACCCCAGAAGTGATTACTCACTAGAAAGCACAGGCTCTCCAAAGAGCCCCGGGAGATTCTCCGACCTGCAGTCAGCACACACTCAAGGACTCTGGCTCAGCTCAACTGTCTGATCTCCTTTCTAACCAAACTCTGCCTCACTCTTGGCCGGTGGATCTTAGACTCCCCCTCAGCATCAGGGCCAGCGGGGCAGGGGCGTGGGGTGGCTCAGGGGGAACAATTTTGGAAGTCTTTGGTGTCAGTTTTTAGTGTTGGATCTGCCACCTTCCATCCCACCTCACAGGCAGGAGTGGTCTTAAATGACCTCTTCCTGTCGAGGACATTGGCCTCTAAGAAAGAAACCCTTTAAATGACAGCTGGTGTTACATATTCTGGATAGCTTTTTACAAATGACAATGACAATGAACTCAGTTTCCGCAGCTTTTGAGTGTCATGAATCATTTTTGAACCTTTTACATGCAAAGCTCCAGTAAAGTCATGATGTGAATCCCAGCTGTGTGACCTAGGGCGACTTACTTCACCTCTCTGTGCCTCTTACCTTATCTAGAAAGCAGGGGTAACAAGACAGGAGAGAACGATAAATTCAAAGGAGTTCATCTTCCTTTGGTACTGGAGCAAGCTGATGTTGAAATGTCAAAGACAGAGCCCCTGGAGTGCTCGGAGGAAGCCTTTCTGGGCAGTAGGGTTAGCGGTTTCATTAGAGTCTGAGATCCAGTTTTGTAGTTATGGTTGCATGCTTAAAAGTGTGATTTTCAGAGGATGCCCTATTTTCCCAGGGTTGAAATATTTGCAGGTACCACTTGGGACCCTCTCTTCCCGGCGCTGAGGCATTTGAGAGGACGAATTGGTTGTCGTGCTGTTGACTCATAAGTGCAGAACCAGGCTTAAGGATGTGCTAGACTGTTCTGTGGAAGGGCCACTTCTCAGAATGCCCTTCCCTGTGTAGTTCCAGATTTGAGTTTGAACCCATGTGAGCTTTGGGAGGCAGAAGCCAAGCCACCACGCTCTGAAGAGAACCGTAGGCCACAGGCCATGAGGCGTGGACACGGAGATGCAGGAGGCCCAGGGAGACACTGTTCTGTCTATACCTATGTGCTGCCCCACCTTGCAGGGCTCTGTCACCGTGACCCACGCCAGCGCTGCTGGTGACTTCTCCAGTCTGCTGACAACCTGTTTATGCACCTTTACATCCCTGGTGCTTCTTCTGATTGTCTGAGGCCTCATGTTCATAACAAATACCTTCTGTCATCACACTTAGGTGGTTCTGCTCTCCTGGTTGTATCCCAACTGAAA